TTTTACCAGGGATTGAACTTAGGGCCCTGCGCTTTCCAGGCAGGCAGGCACTCATTCCACTAAGCTATCTCCCTGGCCTGGTTTTTTTTGTGTTTTTTTTGCCCAAACCGGGAATTGAACTTAGGCCCCTACACTTGCCAGACAAGTGCTTATTCCACTGAGCCATCTCCCCAGCCCCTTAGTGGTCCATTTTTATCCACATTTATTTTGCAAATTTTAATTAATGTCTACTTATATTAGGCACTGTTCTAGGTGCTGTGAAACATTTTGCCTTCCCCCCACCCCCAACCGGGGATTGAATATTTTGCATTTTAAGGTTGATCTGAGTTGAAACTGGAGATGTTGGGACTCTTAAGCAGTAGGAAAGTGGGAGTTCACCAGTTTCATGCCAAGTACCTCAGAATAGATTTAAGATATATTTAGTTGTGGTGTTCATTCATGTCACTCGTTGGTTGCTTTTGAATTCCAGAGGTTATAGTTAAATGATTAGGTATTTAACTAAAACTTTTAATTTCCCTCTAGAATGTTGAAATTCCCACCTTTGATTCAAATAAACAGCTAACCAAGATGCTTGAATATGTTTTTTTTTCCTCCCAGCTGCTTATTCTTCCTTGTATATTTTAAATTGATTGATTTGATTTTCTGCTTATGTCTTAGTATTTATTTACTTACATTATTGTTATTATTATTGTTGTTGTTTTTGTTGTTGTTGTTGTTGTTGAACTGGTGATTGAACTCAGGCCCTTCCACTTGCCAGGTGAGCACTTATTCTACTGAGCTAGCTCCCCAGCCCCAACTTACATATTTAGCAGTACTGTGAGTTGAAGCCCAGACCTCACACATGGTAAGCCACTGAGCCACATCCCTAACTCCGAGACACTAGTTTTTTCTTTCCAGATAGTAGCAAATTATAAAATCTGTAAAAATGGAGAGTTTTACATGTGCACTCAGAGGCCAAGGAGATGGCTCAGTAGAATAAGCACTTGCCAGAGGACCTGAGTTCAATCCCGGTTCCGCCAATAAATAGATAAATAAGTACTTAATGGATCCTTAAAAGCCAATTCACATTTTCAGGACGTTTGCTTAAATTGTGGGATAAGTAAGCATGTGTCTTGAAAGATGTTTTACTCATAGAATGGATTAGTATTAGGAACTCTCTTCTGATTTGCTTTCATTTGCAGCAGCGAATTAATACTATTGTGGGGACAAGTTTGTAACCATGCAGTGAAGCCAGTTAGACAAAGGGAAGCCATCACTGACCTTGACTAGTGATAACATTCTGATCCACTTATTCATAACTCTTACAAGAAACTTTTCAGAAATAAACTCATGCTGTCATGGCAACTGCTACTGATAATTTTTTTTTCATATTGTGGGATGGTCTTGTGGGAAAGGACACTTTTCACAGTGTAGCCTTGACCATGGTCAGCACAGAAGGCCTAATGGTTTGTAAGAAGTTCCACAGCTCAGCAGAAAGCCTCCTACCTTATCACCACAGTGAGGACTAGAGGGGGAGGGCAGCGCACCTTGCAGAGTCGGTCCTGTTGTCGGTGCCCATTGTACCTGTGCAGCAAAGGCAGTACAGGGCCCTTTTGTTTTCCCCCCATTAGGAACAAGAAAAATTGGGCTTTTTCTTGAAGTGTCTTTTTGTATTTTTACTTTTGCATTTTTATTGTTGTTGCTTATAGTTTCTTTTACTGGTAACTAAATTTATAAATAATTGCATTTGAGCTACTTACTGCTGCCTGCGATGTATAAGCCCAGTTGGGGTGCTTACCTTTGAATATAGTGCTATTTACACTGCATAGAGCTCAAATACAGCTAACTAGTAGGACCCTAGGGGACTACAGTGCAGGATTTGTTATGATCTGAAAATTAATACCAGCATAGAAAAATCAAATTTAGACTAATTCCTGCGTAACCTGTAGATTATTCTTTTTTTTTTTTTTTTTTTTTTTTTTTTTTGCGGAACCGGGGATTGAACTCAGGCCCTTGTGCTTGCCAGGGACGCGCTTATTCCACTGAGCCATCTCCCCAGCCCCATATGGAATAAGGATTTTTTTTTTTTTTTTTTTTTTGGGTTCCTCGAATGCCTTCAGGGCACGTTTGGCCAGCGGGAGAGTTGTGAGGTTGGAACTCCAGCCACCTGAGGCTGACAGCTTTGTGGAAGCAGCCACTTAAAGGACTGAGCTAGGCCCAGGCCCCCTCTGCGTAACCTGTAGAAGGCACGAGTGTTTCATCACTATCATTAGCCAAAAGGGACTTCAGAGTTACAGATTAGCCCTGATATCCTATGAAGTATGTATATGCACTATAACTCCACAAATTTAAGAGGACAGTGTGTTTCTGCTTACTATAGAGACTTCCTTGTAACAAAAGGGAAAACTCTTTTTGTAGGACCACCGAACAACAGCAGAGATTCCATGAGATCTGCAGCAATGTAGTAAAGACTCGACGCAGAGCCGCGGGCTGGTGGAAACGGCTCTTTACGCTGAAAGAAGAAAAGCCGAAAATGGTATGTTTTGCTTTTTTTTTTTTTTTTTTTTTATGCAGGGTCTTACTATGTAGCTTGTAGTGATGCTCCTGGTTTCTGCCTCCCCAGGGCTGGGATTACAGGCGCGCGCCCCCGGACTCCATCGCCAGCTCAGTGCGCCTGAGGGCAGGGCCGGCACGGCAGGAAGCGCCAGGGATCGGACCCTGGCCCCTGCACTTCCTTAAGCGAGCACTTAGTCCACTGAGCTATACCGCCGGCCCTTTTTTTTTTGTTTTGACTTACACAAGTATAAAGCACAATTTTTTTTTCCTTTTTAATGCATTTGGTTCTTACAGGGTCTCACTATGCAGCTCGAAGTCGTGATCCTCCTGTTTTCAGCCTCCACAGAGCTAGGATTATAGGTGGGTGCCACCACGCCTGGACTCATTGAACCAAGGTCCCTGCTCCTGCTTAAGCTTGCCTAAGCAGATGCCAAGCACAAGCTTGAGTTAATTTTTACTTTATTGTAACCTAATGGTAGACTTTGTTTTAATAATCATGGTAAGGGCCTGAGTTCAATCCCCGGTTCTGTTAAAAAAAAAAAAAAAAAAAATTATAGTTTATTTCAGAAATGGTAGCACACACCTATAACCCCACCACTTGGGAGGCTGAGACAGGCAGATCACCCTGAGTTGAAGGTGAGCCTGAACTGCATAGGAAGACCCTGTTTCAAAAAAGAAAACAAACAAAAATTATAGTTCAGTATTTGCCATAGGTGTAACTCACTACATTCATAAATGTTTTTCTGTAGTAGACTGGATCACTGAACATTCAAAATTATATTTTCTGGGCTGCAGAGATGACTCAGCGGTCTAAGCTCCTGCCTAGGCAAGTGCAAGGATTCAAGTTTGATCCCTGGCCTGGCAGGCATCTGCCCAAGCAGTAACTTGAATCAGCTGAGCTATTTCGCCGGCCCCTAGGGGTGTGTGTGTGTGTGTGCGCGCGCGCGCGTGACTGGCTCAGCCCAACCCGGTGCAGGACTGGTGCAGCATGCGGCACCAGGGGTTGAACCACAAGCCCTGCGCATTTTGCCTAAGCTTGCCTGAGCAGGCACTTTAGACCACTGAGCTATCTCGCTGGCCCGAAATCTAAGTATTTTTTTAAAAAGTGATAAGGGTCTGGAGAGATGGCTCAGTGGAATAAGCACTTCCCTGGCAAATGCAAGGGCCTGAGTTCAATCCCCAGTTCTGTGAAAGAAAAAGTGATAAGAAAAGCTAATTTATTTTCCAATCTTTGAAACAAATTTTCTCAGCTGACAAAGTTGTATGCAGTTATGTTGTACCTGATGTTTTGATGTGCTCATTGGCATGGTGAACCACTGCTGACTTCGCACTTCTCAGCCTGTGTCTGGGAGCTGATACATTCTTTTTGCTTTCGTTGTTAGTACTTCGTGACCATGATCATTTCTCTTGCGGCAGTTGCTTGGGTGGGACAGCAAGTCCATAACCTGCTTCTCACGTGCCTGATAGGTAAGTCTGGAAAAACTATAGTCATATCCTAGCCAGTAAAATCTAACTATGGCAGAGGCAAATATGTGAGTACTTAATCAGGTTTCATGTACTGACCAAGGAACTTTGGGAATATAGAAAGGTGACAGAGACTCAGGTCATTGTTTTCAGAGCTTTATGGTCGGATCTTACAGCAAGTGAAGACAAAAAAAAATTATAACGAAAGGAGGAACTAAGGGGCCTGGGAGATGGCTCAGTAGGATAAGCGCTTGACCAGCAAACACAAGGATCTGAGTTCAATCCCTGGTTCTGCAAAAAAAAAAAAAAAAAGGAGGAAGTACAGTAAAACCTTAGTATGTGAGCATAATTTGTTCTAGAAATACTCTTGTTTCAAAAAAAAAAAAAAAAAAATAAGCTCACTTGAGGGCTGGGGAGATAGCTCAGTAGGATAAGCACTTGCCTGGCAAGCACAAGGTCCTGAGTTCAATCCCCTGTACTTCAAAAAAAAAAAAAAAAAATTCTAGAAATACACTTGTAATCCGGAGCACTTGTTTTTTTGTTTGTTTGTTTGTTTGTTTGTTTGTTTGTTTGTTTTTGCGGAACCGGGGATTGAACTCAGGCCCTTGTGCTTGCCAGGGAAGCACTTATTCCACTGAGCCATCTCCCTGGCCCCTGGAGCACTTGTTTTTGTTTGTTTGGTTTTTTATGTTTTAGGGAAGGGTCTACAGGGTTTTCAGGGTCTCACTACTAGATCCGACTCATAATGACTCTCCTGTTTACAGCCTCTCAAGAGCGGGATTACAGGCACGCACCACCATGCCCAGTTTCAATCGCCATCTCAGTGCACCCTGGGTGCAGGGCCGGCATGGCAGGCCCAGGGATTGCACCCCTGGCCCCTATTCCTGCTTGCAGGCACTTTAATCCGCTGAGCTATTTGGCCAGCCACCCAGAGCACTTGTATTTCAAGCAAATTTCCCCATAAGAAACTATGGCATTTAATCTGTAGATTCAGTAAGAAACAAGTTGCTAGAACTTGCAGAACAGGTTCCTTGTAATCCAAGGCTTTACTGTCATTGGTAGGTGGTAAAAAATATAAACAGTGACTATTGTGAGTTGGGAGGGCATGAGGGCAGGAGTTTCTGGAAATCCAGTGAAAGTAATGGAATCTATTACTTCTCCCCATTAGAGTTCTAATAGTCTAAGAAATTCTCTTCTTTAAATAATCATAGCAGGTTATTTTCCTTGATAACCTTTATTTTTTTTTAAAATTTACTTATTTATTTGTGTGTGGGTGTGTGTGTGGGTGTGTGTGTGTGGCCAGCTCAGCCCACCAGGGGGTCCCTGTGCTTTGCTAAGCTTGTTCTAAGTAGGTGCTTTAGACCACTGAGCCATCTCACCAGCCCCCTCCTTGATAACCTTTAGCAGGTTGCTTTTTCCTAAGAGACTGAGGCAGGAGGATTATGAGTTTGAGCTCTTTTTGAGCAACTTAACAAGTGAAACCCTGTCAAAAAAATGCTGGGGATGTAGCTGATGTAAAGACCCTGGTTCAATCTCCAGTACTTAAAAAAATTGCTGTATCCTTAATTTTGTTTGTTTATTTTAAGTGACTTTCCTACTGTTGCTTCCTGGACTAAACCAACATGGCATCATTTCGAAGTACATTGGAATGGCCAAAAGGGAGATAAACAAGCTTCTGAAACAAAAAGAAAAGAAAAATGAATAATACATCTGTTTCGTTCAGTGTGATTAATGGAATGTGCATTGCCCCGAGGATAGTTTCTACCTTGGTGTGTGGATCCTGAAATGCTACAGAAGTAGCTCTTTGCTTTCCCTCACTCTGCCCCTAGTAGAAATTCACACTTGCCCATCAGGCTTTGTGCATAGTGTCGTTGTGTCAACTGTATCTGGGCGCATTCTTGTAAGCCACCAGTGGATAAGGCTTGTTTTGATTTTTCTCACCCAGTGTGAACTGAATCCTTACTTTTGACAACTTCTTTTAAAATAATACAGTGGTGAACTTTATTCTTCAGTACAGTTAATAGTGCTTGAAAAATTGTTTTGATTGATATTTGTTTCCGCTAGACACCAGGAGGCGGTCTGTGGCTACAGGAAGCTAGTCCTACTGGCCACTTCCGTAGCCTGCTTAAAAAACTGTCCGGCTTCATGAATATAAAGACCAAGTTAGCCCACCTGACGAAGAGGCCAGGGATCATTCCTCATGCTGTTTCTTTACCATCGGAGAAGAATCTCGATGGAATAAAATGAAATTGAGTCCATGCCCTTGTCCCTGTAGGTTTCTCCCTTTTGTGAAGACTGGTGGTGATTTCTGGGAATCGTTGATCCTGATATTCCATAGGGGAGTCTGACAGCTGTAGAACTCTTGCTCTCTGCCCTACTTTATTAGTGAGTCCTCACAGGGCTTTGCATAGCAGATTTCCAAGCAGTTGTATTCCAGGGTGTTTAGTACACCTTTTATTTCAGGTTTTTACAATGCACCCAGTAGGTTAAAATGCAAGTCTGTGACCTTTATTCTAACACCAGCCAGTAAAGGACAAAAGTTCTTCTGTTTAGTTAAGATTCACAGCAGTAGAAAAGTGAAATTACTCATTTTTAAGATAAGAAAAGGCCTTCAAAGGTGAGCCTCATAATTCTCACTTTATAGTAATATTAGTTGCATTTTGATTGCTGTGCTTTTGCAATGTTGTAAGTACACTGGCATCTGACTGTTTCCACAGTTCTCTCCAAGGACTGTGGTGAGAGTGGGCTTGTGATGATAGACCGGCCGCTGGCCCACACAGATTTTGTAACTCCTTGGAAAGCTCCTCAGAATCATTCTTTCCCTCTCAGTAGCTGGAAACTTAGCGTAAGAATGAACCTTTGAGGGCCAAAAAATGTGACGTATTTGGGAACAACTCTTCAACTGCTTAACTAGCTGTAATATAGTTCTGTGAAGTCATTGCACTGATGCTGTAAAACCTTGTGGTAGATCTGTCCTTAAATAAGCCTTGTTTTTTCCCCTTCCATATTGCTGTAAACACCGGTGCCCGTTATCGTTTATTTTTAATTTTTTAAAAAATATTTTCATATGACTACGTTAATTTTACATGTGTTTCTTCACTGTAAATAAGCCTGTCTTACCTGGATTTTTGTGTGTATGAATGTGTGTTCTACCAGTTAACTACCTTGGCAGTTTTAATCCTATGTTTTTTCTTTGTTTTGTGTGAAAAAGTAAAAATAAAAGCTGGAATCTCTTCAGTGTCTCATTTTCTTTTGCACTTGACCAATCTAATGTTTACATGATTGTTGTAATTTAGGGCCTTGAAAGGGGAAAAATACAATACAAGACACTTTTTTTTTTTTTGGCAGAACCGGGGATTGAACTCAGATCCTTGTGTTTGCCAGTCAAGCGCTTATCCTACTGAGCCATCTCCCTGGCCCCAAGACACATATTTTTATAACTTTTTCTTAGGTATTTAGCAGAGTCTACAGGGTATCACTACACAGATTAGACTTGTAGTGATCCTCCTGTTTTCAGCCTCCCAAGTGCTGGGATTACAGGCACGCACCAACACCCCCAGTCCCAATGGCAGTCTCAGCGTGCCCTGAGAGCAGTACTGGTACAGCACTACAGGACACATTTTATAAAATTATTTTATAATGAATCACCCTAAGAATCATCTACAAAGAGTGCAGGAAATTCTGTCCATACTCCAAAGAATCCAGCTGAGGGCCTGGATCCGATGGTAATGTCCTGCTTGAGTCCAGGTGAAGATCTAGACAAGTCCAGCCAGAGGCCTAGAGCTCAGGAGAATGTCTCACGCAGGCAGGCCTGTTTCACAGCTCTGTGTCAGGAGGGCCCAAAAGTCAGTGGTAGACGCTAGAACATCTGTGCCAGGGGTGAAGCATCTGAGGACTCTGAACTGAACCAGGAAGTAACACTACAGTAAGAACCAGAACTCCCCTGAAAAGTAGTGCCACAGCCATCCTCAGCACCAGTGAGGTTCTGAGCTGTGAGGGTGAGGAAAGCAGAGTTTACACCAGGAAAGCCAGTGCGACAGCTCCAGGAGACAGACAGCTGTGTGGCATCTTCCCCCTCTGGGGCCAGGAATTCCTCCCCCCCCCCCCCTCAGGGATTGAACTCAGGCCCTTGTGCTTGCCAGGCAAGCACTTATTCTACTGAGCCATGTCCCTGGCCCCTGGAGCCAGGACTTGATGCTCCAAGTGAGGACAGAGCTCCTCCAAAATGAACTGTAGCCATCCTCAGCAACAAGGTCCCGAGCTCCCTTGATGAGAACAGTTGAGTTGGTCAGGAAAGCCAGCATGACAAGCTCCTCCAGGAGAACTCAGCTTCCTACAGCCTCCCTAACAGCTTCTCCAGCCTCTTGTGCCTCTTACACTGCTAGCAGCAATCCTCAGGGGGGCCTCCCACACTCTGCACCACACTGGTGCAGTACGGCTGGGTGTTACAAATTGTCTAATCCACTACACAGTGATAGAATTTATGAAGCCAATCAGTGAACTTCCCTGTGTGAACATGACAGGGTCTCTACTCTTAAAGAACAAAATGAGGGCCAGGGAGATCGCTCTATGGAATAAGTGCTTCCCTGGCAAGCGTGAGGGCCTGAGTTCAATCCCCAGTTCCAAAAAAAAAACAATGAAATTAAAATTTTAAATTGTTCATTCAGCAAACATCAAGACTGAGTGCTATATGAAAGAGGAAATACAGTAAAGGGCAGATATGTGAGACGGCAGCTGGAAGAATACACAGGGGAGGCCGGGGATATAGCTCAGTAGAATAAGCACTTGCCTGGCAAGTGCAAGGGTCTGAGTTCAATCCTTGGTTCTGCCAAAAAAACAAACAAACAAACAAAAAAAAAAACAGGGCTAAGTGAGGGATCGACAGAGTCTACCTGGGCGCCTCTGCTCTGTGGATTCTAGCTTTGGTGGGTACTGGAGAGGTACCCAGTAAATAACAGCTGGGTGACTTGTCTGCATTTTAAACACTAAGAACTGGAATTGTATGTTTTATGGGTCCTGGGAATAGTTTTGGTAATAAATTCTTGAGTTCCCCCACCCCGGAGACTATGGATCCTTCTTTGTTTTTTGTTTTAAATTGTCAAACCATTTCTGTGTGTGTGTGTGTGTGTGTGTGTGGCCAGCTCAGCCCACCAGGGGGCGGGGCTGGCTGGCATGTGGTACTGGGGGATTGAACCGCAGTCCCTGTGCTTACTCCAAATAGGTGCTTTAGACCACTGAGCCATCTCACCAGCCCCTATGGATCCTTCTTTGAAACATGTCCAACAATGATGCCTCAAGCTCACGCCCAGTCTCCATGATTGCCTGCTGGTGTTTTTTGTGGTACCAGGGATTGAACTCAGGACCTTGCATTGGTAGGCAGGTGATTATGCTGCTGAACTCTCCTGGGTCCTGCCTGATGATTTTGAAGTGCTGGTCTTTAACCATGCAGCTGAGATTTCTGCTTTGCTTCCATCAACCTCACCCACCTGGCTTCCTTCCCAGGCCAGCTTGGGGTCCTGCAGCTTGGCATCAAGGGGTTACCCCATGCTCGTCCTGGCTATAGCAAAAGTCCCTTTCCAAGGTATGCCCTCCCTGACTACCTGGAGCAGAGCAGAGGTCTTAGCACCCTACAGTTCACATCGGAGATTTTTTGTGGAATATATTATGCCAACAAAAATGAAAGGATTTGGGCCAGCCAAGTAGCTTAGCAGACTAAAGCACCTGCTTAGGCAGGTACAGGGACTGGGTTCGATCCCCAATGTGCAGTACTGGCCCCACCCCCAGGGCATGATGAGCTGCTGACTGAGACTGGGCGTGGTGGTACATGCCTGTAATCCCAGCACTTGGGAGGCTGAAAACAGGGATCTCTACGAGTCTGGTCTGTGTAGTGAGACTCTGTACTAAAATACATTAAAAAATAAATAATAAATAAATAAAATAAAATACATTTTAAAAAATTTAAAAGATTTGTTGCTTTTATTCTCAGCCCATGGTCCGACTGATGAGCTTCCCTCTGCCCTATAAGATTTGGAAGTTGTGGGCCGGGGAGATAGTTCAGTAGAATAAGCGCTTGCCTGGCAAGCACAAGGATCTCAGTTCAATCCCTGTTTCTGAAAAAAAAAAAAAAAAAGATTTGGAAGTTTTTAAGAGGTGGCTTAATGCTAGCAGTTCATACGTTACCATTTTATTTTCTCTCAGCTTGTGATCCTGTTTGAAAATGACTGGGTCCAGCTTGCCTACAGCAAAAACCCCCAACGTGTGGGGTACCTTTTTTTTTTTTTTTTTTTTTCAGAACCAGGGATTGAACTCAGGCCCTTGAGCTTGCCAGGGAAGCGCTTATTCCACTTAGCCATCTCCCTGGCCCTATGTGTGAGGTACTTCATGCAGAGGTCTCTGCTCCATTTCTCTGCCCTGTTTCCACTCCACCCCAGCCATCTCGATTTTTCTGCTGATTGCTGTCTGATTCCATCCATCCTAACTTGACCAATGCTAACAGCAGGCCTCCACACACCCAGACCATCTGCTGTCCGGCACACCCACTCTGAGATTAGGCAGATTTAGATCCAAATCCCTACCAAGTAGTTTAGTATTGTATGTAACTATGTTTTTCCTGGCTTTGACTTCTTAAAGTTTGGTTCCTCTAGGACAGAACTTAGCTTTATTGTCACATGGGCATAACAGCAGAGGTCTCCTAGTCTGTTGTGAGGCTAATGCGCTGCAGGAAGCACATGGTGGCAGTCATGAATTAGGGACAAAGGAGCACCTGCTCTGGTAAAGCTCTAGCAGCTTCCCAGGCCCCACAACACTTTGAATTGCCTCCTTGTGTGGCACACTGCTGTCACTTACTCGTTTGCATCCACAGCAGTTCAAACCTGTTTAGGGCAGGAATGGTAGTTTTTGTCTTCCTAGTACCTGGTACAATACCTGGCCCATGGTGGACACATTATTTATTGATGAATCAATGAGTCCAGAGTATAAAGAGTTAATGAGGGCGGCCAGATAGCTCAGTGGTCTAAAGCGCCTGCTTAGGCAGGTGCAGGGACTAGCCCTGCAGTTTGATCCTCAGCACCACATGCCATCCCAGCCCCACCCCATGGTGGGCTGAGCTGGCCACAAAACAAGAAGAAAAAAAAGTTAATGGATGTCATAGTTTTGCTTTTTTTTATTTTTTTCCCAGGGGGAGCAATACAATGCAGGGCACATTTTTTTTTTTTTTTTTTTTTTTAATTTCTCAGGGAAGGGTCTACAGGGTGTTCAGAGTCTCACTACTAGATCAGACTGATAGTGATCCCCCTGTTTACAGTCTCCGAAGAGCTGGGATTACAGGCATGCACCACCATGCCCAGTTTCAGTTGCTGTCTCAGTGCGCCCTGGGGGGGGGGGGGGGTGGCAGGCCCTGGGGATGGAACCCCCAGCTCTTGCACCTGCTTGCAGGTGCCTTAATCCACTGAGCTATTTGGCCAGCCCTAGGACACACTTTATAAGATTATTTTATAATGAATCACATACAAAGAGTGCTGGAAATCTGTCCACATACTAAAGTCCAAAGAATCCAGCTGAGGGCCTGGATCCCACAATAATGAGTCCAGCTAAAGTCCATAACAGTGTCCCCCACAAGTCCCACTGGAGGCTTAGTGCCCATGACAATGCCTCAGGCAGGCCTGTTAAGCAGATTTGCACTGGGAAAGTCCAAAGGTCAGTGGTGGAAGCTAGGAAGTCTGTGCCAGCAGGCTGAGGGAGCTGAACTGGAGCCAGGAAGCAAAGCTCAAGGTAAGCACCAGCCCTCCAGCAAAAGTGCGACAGCCGTCCTCAGCAACAGTGAGGTCCTGAGGTCCTCTGAAGGTCAGAGCTCCTGTCAGGAAAGCCATCGAGAGAAGTTCTCCAGCAGACTGAACAGTGCACCATCTTCCCCTCTGGAGCCAAGAAGTGATGCTCAAGGTGAGGATCGAAGCTCCCCCAAATGAGCCACCCTCGAGCTCCTCCTCTGAAAAGAGCAGCCAAGTTCACCAGGAAAGCTAGCAGGACAAGCTCCTCCAGGGAACCAATAGCTTCTGACAGAACCTGCAGCTTCTGACAGCTTCTCCAAACAGCTTCCCTAACAGCCTTTTATGCCACTGGCAAGATCCTCAGGCGGCCTCCCACGCCTCCCACACCCAGCACCTTGCTACTTGAGTTCAGCTGGGTGTAACAGGTTGAACACCAGTTGATAGACCACCACAATTCCATTTATGGTAA